TACGGTGACTCTGGGAGAGTTGGAGACATGGGGAGAGACTGGGTTGTGTAACTTTGGGGCAAGGTCTGGAAAGACAGTCCCCATTTTCCCTGTGTGGAGTCTTTCTCCCATGCAACCAGCAGGTGGGCACCATCTTTCCTGTGTTGAGGCTGCCCTTACAGGCCAAATCTAAATCTGATTGGTCTGGTGAGCTCCATTGCTCCACTCTGCTGACTCACTGAGACCCTGCCTCACTCTACTTGTGTATAGCAGGAGGCTTTATCAGCAGCTGAACAGCAAAAAAAAAAAAAAAAGATTCCAAAACAAGTGGAGAGTTTAAGAGACATTTGAAACAACATCAAGTGTAACAGCATTCACATCCTAGGGGTACCAGAAGGAGAAGAGAGAAAGCAAGGGATTGAAAATCTATCTGAAGAAACAATGACTGAAAGCTTCCCTAATCTGGTGAAGGAAAAAAACATACAAGCCCAGGGAGTGCAGAGTCCCAAACCAGATGAACCTAAACAGGCCCACACCAAGACACATCATAATTAAAATGGCAAAGGTAAAAGACAAAGAGAGAATCTTAAAAGCAGCAAGAGAAAAGCAGTTATTACCTACAAGGGATCCCCCATAAGACTGTCAGCTGATTTCTCAACAGAAACTTTGCAGGCCAGAAGGGAGTAGCAGGAAATACTCAAAGTGATGAAAAGCAAGAAACTACAACCCAGATTATTCTAACTAGCAGAGCTATCACTTAAAATCAAAGGACAGATAAATAGTTCCCCAGACAAGAAAAGCTAAAGGAATTCATTACCACTAAACCAGTACTACAAGGAATCTTAAATCTTTAATCATTTAATCACTTCTTTAAGACCAAAACAAAAATTATGAATAATAAAACAGCAATAACTACATATCTATCAACAATGGCTTTCAATAAGTGCATTAAATGTTCCAATAAAAAACATAGGTGGCTGAATGGATAAGAAAACAAAACCCTTACATATGCTGCCTACAAGAGACCCACTTCAGATTGAAAGACATACAGAGATTAAAAGTGAAGGGGTGGAGAAAGTTATTTCATGAAAACGGAAACCAACCAACAAAAAAGCTGTAGCAGCAATAATTATACCAGACAACATAGACTTTAAAACAAAGGTTATAATGAGAAACAATGAAGGACCCAGTAATTCCACTTCTGGGTATTATTGCAAATAAATCCAAAATGCTGCTTTGAGGGGACATGTGCATTCATATGTTCATTGCAACATTGTTTACAACTGCCAAGATGTGGAGGCAGCCTGGGTGTCTGTCGATAGAAGAATGGATAAAGAGGAGGTGATACATATATACAATGGAATATTGCTCAGCCATGGAAAGGAATGGGTTCTTGCCATCTGCGGCGACATGGATGGACCTGGAGGTTTTGTGCTGAGTGGAGTGTAAGACAGAAAAATACAGATGCAATGTGATTTCGCTATATGTGGAATCTAAAGAACAAAATAAAACAGTAATAGACTCATAAAAAAAGATTTACTGTATGTTTTAAAATGTAATCAATTAACTGGTCTGCATTTGTTATTCAGAATTCTCTGCAGGATAATATTTGTCAGTGAATGCTAAATGCTTTCTGTGTAACTGCTTATTAGAAAAAGTCAAAAGTGAAAGGAATAGCTGAGGGTGGACTCTATAATCTATGCAAACTGTGGAATACAATTGTACCTAATAGTTAGGTAATTAGAAAAGCAATAATTTGTTTATTTGTACTTAATTTTCTTTTCTAAAATGCAGGGCTTTTATATTTTGTATTCAATTGAAAGGGAAATGAAAGGCATACTTCAGCTTAAAAACAATTGTTCAAACTTTTTATCAATAATTTTTTTCTTGGTATTTCCTGAAATCTTCACTAATTTAGTCAAATGAAATCTTCAAAATTAAGGTTCTTTAGTCCTTACCAGCTTTGTCATTTTAAATTAGCTGTCATTTGTCATCAGTAAGTTGGCTATTTTTAAACTATCATTAATTATTTTCCTTTATAGTCACCTGAATAAGCTGACACTCAAAAATGAACAGTGCATCTTTCTCAGATCTAGACCTAGAGCCCCAATTAATTAGTTGTGTTACATAAAAAGAAATATCCATATGTATGAGAATATTGTGGTGTTTTTGTATTCTCAACATATCAGGGAACAAGTGAGGGATTAATAGCAATAACAAATGGCATTTTTATAGTGCTTTAAAGATTATGAATTGTTTTATATACATATCTCATGGGAGTGCCATAGTCACTCTGTAATGGAAGTAGCGCTATTTCATTGTTTACAGTGTTGCTATATTATATACTTATACAGGAAAAAGACCATCATTTGATCCATATGTTTACAATGTCAAGCAATTTGGAAAATGGACTTTTCCAAGAAAACAAAGACTGTTGCTAGTATTAAGTAAAAAAAATTAAAGCCTTTAGCTACAAACCATGCTTTGCAAGTTCCAATGCCACAAAATGAATGTATACATTGGGCCAGGTGCAAGTGGGTAAGTTGGTAGGTGGTGCGGCCCATGACAAATTGGAACCTATATTATTGCCTACAGCTATATATATTTAAAAATATTTAAACATTATGGGCCAAAGAAAACATATCTTGTACCTCACACGCAACCTTTGCTTGCCCCATACTAGCAGAATATGGGATGTAGAAAAGGAAATAAAGCAGGAACACAGGAGCACAAGGAGATGATATGAGAAATGGTTTGGATTGCAGGAACTGAGCTTGCCAAGGACTGAGGTGCAAAGAGCAAGGTAGATAAATATGGCTGATGCTCATCCAATATCACCACCCTCCTATCTTTCTACTTGATGTGGTTTTGCTGTTGTTGGGACAACACAATATGGTGTTGAGAACACTATAATGATGTGGCCTTGGACTCTTTAGTCAGTTTCCTTATCAGTAAAGTTGAGATAATAACTACAGTACAGAATCGTTGTGAATTAAATGAGATCATACATGACAAGGGGTTAGCAGAGATCCTTTAACAACGGAAGTGCTAAGGTAGGTATTTTTGCCATCCTCATCAGTACTGGAAAGAATACTTCTTTACTCTTGCCTTGAACTCCTTAGTATACACCAGGGGTTGGCAAACTGCGACTTGCGAGCCACATGTGGCTCTTTGGGTACATTCCATCTCAAAAGTTTGCCAACCCCTGGAAGAGTCAATCCTGTCCCTCATAACAATTTAAAAATTATTCGAGAGCTATAAATATATTTTTACCATTATGTGAATAATATCCTTTAAAAATTTTATAAATGATGGGCCAGCTGAATGGCTCATTCGTTAAGAGTTGGCTTGGGAGCGCGAGCTCTGAGGAGCAGGGCCACCGGTTCGGATCCCACATGGGCCAGTGACAATGCGCCCTCTACAGCTAAGATGGTGAACAACAGCTCTACCTGGAGCTGGGCTGCCATGTGTTGCTGGCGATGGTGTAGGCTACAGTGGGGCTGCAGTGGGCTGCCGTAAGCTACTGTGAGTGGCTGGCAGCTGGCGTGAGCTGCTGTGAGCTGCTGTGAGCTACTGTGAGCAGCCATCCAGTGGCCGGCAACTGATCTGCCTCAGTGGGGAAGATCACAATGATAATACTAACATGGGCCAGTGAAACAATGTCCTCCACAACTAGACTGAAGAACCAAAGGATGCAAATTGTCTGTTCTCCTTCCCGATTCCCCAACGCTATTCCCTCCCCCAATTCCCCAATAAAATCTTAAAAAAACAAATTTATATATGAAACTATGATAGTTTTATTTTCATTTTTAATTTTACTTCAGAGCCTGTGGCTTGCGAGTCGCAGTTTGCTGACCCCTGGCGGCTCTTCTGTCTCAAAAGTTTGAGTATACTGTACACTAAAGATGGAAATTAACTTTCAGACCTGTATGGTAAGAAGCTTACCAGGGGAAAGGCAGAGTTCCTTCCTTTTGTCAAAGAAATCAATAGCCACAAAACCAAAAAGTACAGTAAGAAAGCTCCTTGAGAATAGACTCTATGGCAGTTTCACTTTGCAAGCTCTACTGTGCCAAGTATAAAGACACTCAACACAGTGGATACCAAACTGCTTGTTGAACGAATAACAGGAGTAATTAACTTAATTAATATTTAGTAGTTTTAGATCTGTGGACTTTCTACAAAGGACTATATATGGGATCTATAGAAACCTTATTGATAATCATGAAATGAAAGTTATTGGTTTTGATCATCTGATTTGTTTCGTAAACAAGATCAGTGGTTATCCAGCTATTCTCCACAGCTCCTTTGGGATTCCTCCACAGAGGAGGCTCAAGAATTCCCATCCTTGGAGTGGGAAATGGTAAGTAAACAGAATTCTCTACCCACACTCTGCCTTCAATTAAAACTGCTCCAGTTTGTATATTGGCCTTCCTGTGAGACTTTGTTGAGAGAAAATTTTCAGTTTAAAAATATAAATTTTTGAAATCCCTTGGGATTCTACCTCAGCACCCTCTGATTCTGTGTCTGTTTCAAGGGTCTATTCCACATGAAAACATCTGCACATAAAACCTAGGTAAATTACCTGTTGTGTTTTGGCTAAATTTACTATTACAAAAATACCAAAATGGTAGCATAAAAGGAGTGTTTCAGATACTTTTGTATCATGTTCTCTTATGATACCTGGCTTCCTAGGAGACATGACATTCTATAACAGTCATTGATTCCAATCCTTGTTCTGACTTTACTAAGAACTAGTTAGCTGCTGAATCTGTCAGATGTCACTATCTTTCCGGACATTTTTAACAGATTTGAAAGATCCATGAGAGATAGCTATACAGCCTTCTATTTCTGTAAAACATAATGACAGAATTTTAATTCACCTGGGTTTATGGTAGCCTGTCCCCTTGCCCACAGAGTAGAAAAACCCTGATCTACAATAAATCTAAAATGTATCTTCATGGCAATCTTAGACTCCTAGTCAGTTACACAATTCTAAATTCATTATTTGAGGGGGAAAATACCTGTTTAAGTCACGGTGTATGATTGGCTGTGTCAGGTTGTGAAGGTACTCCATACCTTTGGCAACATCTACTGCAATAATTAATTTAGACTGCAAATCAAGAACCCTAGAATTTAAAAATACATTTAATGAGGATGAAACAGTCAAAGCCAATACCATATCTTTCTAAAAGAAATCAGTGGTGTGTGTGATTTGTTATTATGTATAATTTCAGTCTTTTCTTTTTTTGCTGTATTAAAGATTAAGCTAAAAATTCAAGAAATATGGAAAAGTAGCTCTCCTACACCAGATAATACTAATTATAAGTCAATTCAGATACCAGTCTCTTTTATTTAAGATATTCTACTTGATTTTATAATATTTGTAATATTACACTTAATTTCTTTGTTATAATATAAAAATAGAATCTACAATCATAACATTCTCATTATTGTATGCATAGACCTAGGAAGTGAATTCAAATTAGATTTGTGTAAGAACTTTCTTTTAAAAAACTTTTTAAAATAAACACTGTGACCCCTGGTGATTATTTTTTTTTTTCTGTTTACATACATCTGCTTTATTGGATGTCAAATTTAGCCTAATTACTATAAACTTCAGTTACTAAATTCCTTGAATTTATTATCTTCAACTGACTTCCTATTAAGAAAGCACTGAACTATTTCTATTCACTAATTATGGGGTATAAATTATTAGCCATCTTTAAAATGCCACATTTCCTAGTACTCAGAGATTTTAGAAGGTCAAGTTTTATCCAAGCATATAGGCCCTGAGGTGTTGCAAGGATAATTCCATTGACATGTAAAATAACTCAGAGCAAGAGACTCATACCTCTTCTGTTCATGAAGGAGAGAGAACAGAGAACCTCCTGATATGTACTGAGTGACAATGGCAAACTGGCTGGGATCATTCAAACAAGCGCCCACAAACGGAATTACACAAGGATGGTTCAGCCGGCAGAGAATGGACACCTCTCGGCAAAACATATCCACATCTGACTTGGAGCAGTAGGTGTTGGCTCGATAACTGGAAATGGTAGCAACGCAAAATCCCCAGTTAACAGATGAAGCAAAACAAGGGGCTCACCATTCATATGTGAGCTTCTCAAAGTTCACAGTTATACTCAGATGTTAAATTTTTTCATTTGCTTGCTTACCGTTTTATAGCCACTATTTTATTTCTGCATCGTCCTTTATATACTTTCCCAAAAGAACCTATAATTGTTTAAGAGAAATAAATAAATGCATTATCTTGAGCTCATTAAACTAAAGCAGGCTAATATTTTTTTTAGTTTACCTGAGCCGATAATCTCATGGAATTCAATTTCCGAGAGCTGAAGATGGAAATGTGAAGGCAATCCAGCTCTTAGGAGTAGAACATCTGCCTTCTCTGCAAACAGGAAGTGCTATTTTATTTTTTAAGATAAAAAGCACACATCTGGACGTGCACACATGCGTGCTCATATATAATTTACTTAACCAAAAAGTCATTCCCTGGTAACATTTATTTTCCAGCTATATTTGACTACTTGGAGACACTAAAACCTTATCACAAATGATCCTTATCCCTCCTGCATTAAAAACATGTTAGTTCCCTCTCTCTGTTACCTAACTTTTGTTATCAGGGCTCAGAGTTTATTCCTGATCTGATCAAAAACTAGCTTGTCTGTATGACATGGCAAGTCTGGAGTCAAGTCCATATCACATCATGATAACAGTCTTATCTGGTCAGTCCCTGCAGCCTATCACAAGAGGTTTAGCCCAGTATTCATAAACTAACCCTCAAAGGGATGCCAATTAGATATCAGGAAGTAAGCACATGAATCATTTGAAGTAAACATCAACATTTAAAGAATAATTTTAAAAAGCTTCAAATTCTAAATATCTAAACATAAATGTGCAGTTGAACCATATTTTTTACTTTCCTGATTCAATGATATTGATTTCTGTGTGCAACATACATTCAAAACAGTTCCCAAAGGTTTTGGGACCTTTTCAAAAATGATTTTTGTTTCATTTTTTTTCCCTATGGCAAAGCTATTCTCAATTCTCCTTAAGTATATTAATTTATATTTCATTAAGAATACAAATGTTTATGAGAATTTGATCTTTCTTTAATACTTATGAAATTTTTACTGTTATGCCTTCATGAACTAGGGGCATATGCAAAATAATACAGTAGGTGAGGTTAATTATTGAAAGAATTAGTATGTTGATAATATTGTTTATGCTTACAAAATAGTCATCATTTGTAATATGTAAAAGGAAGTAGAAAGTTATCATAGTTGAGGCAATTGTTATCCTTAGTAATAAAATACAACACTTATACCATATTAAAATACCTTTTGTCATGCTTTTAATCTTCCCCAAGGGGGATGGAACAGACACATAGGAGCCATCTAGAAATCAAATTATATTATAGAGTTGAAAGTAACAGATTTTTTTTCCACAGAAAAGTCAAACATTATAAAAAGCAGCAGGTGACAAACAAATTCGCTGAGAAAACCAAATGAGACTATAGCTTAAACCCAGGTGTTTCTCTGGATACTAAAACTATACAGGAAGTGTTTATTTAGAAAGTATATAAAAAGATTAAAAACCCAAGGTCTAGCAGACTCCAGCATATTAAATTCGTGTCTGGATATGCGTAGCCTCTGTTCTGCCTTAATAGGTTACTGAAATGGAAAACGACTGCCCTCAGCATACCCAGGCTTTCCCAGTCATGAACAAGCCTCACAAACGTCCGGTCCAGGGGGCGTTAACCCTGGAGGAACTGCAGTTGCTGAGGTAGAAAACAGCCTAAGTGGAGGCTTCTTTATTTTCAGCCTCGCCTAGCCTTAAGTTTTCTTAAAAATAAAGCTAATCTGACGTGCTCTCCTCCTTCACTGCAGAATGACGGTAATAGAAATACAGGTTTACCTTTAGGAACAATATTCTACTGACAACAAAAACGGAATACAAACAGGGGTACCTCCTCCAGGCTGAGAATACTCATTACAGGGCAGTTCATCTTGCGGTCTCTTATAATGCTTCAGGAGTGTGACAATTGCATCATGTCCTTTATGAAAAGACAAAAAGGGACAAAGGGTCTTAGTTTTTGTTTGATCTATTCAGTTTACCACCTAATTCAAAAATGACCAGAGGTAGCTTGAAACATAGGATATCTCTTACGATTAATATATTGCAGTAGAAATTTAGCACATTCATTCATTCAAAATAATTCATGAAGACTCTGTTGTATGTGAGGTACTATGTTGGGGACTGGGGATACAATGAACAAGGTGACTGTGATCTGGCCCTTAAGAAGCTTAGTGTAGTTGAACAAATAATAAGAATGATGAGAATTTCTAAAGGAGGAAATATCAACTGTTATGGAAGGGTATTATATGGGGACCATTAAAGGGGTGAAAAGCACATATGGTAACCAGGAAGGAGATATGCATTTGCTGTGATTGAGCATTACATTTGGTTGGCAACTGCAGCATAACATGACACGAAGATAATTTACATAAGCGTTTGTGGCAGGAGACAGCTGGCTGCCCACCCATATTTGTACTCCCCATTCACGGAGTGATTGTGTCACTGGGAATGGCTGCCCACCCAGGGACAATAGCTCCCTATCCCCTTTGCATTGAATTATGGTCTTGTGACAAATTCTAACCAAGAGAACATGAGCAAAAGTGATGTGAATTCCAAGCCTACGCTTTAAGAAACAAATGAGCCTTCTCTACTCTCCCAATTGGTTGACTGGATGCAGGGGGTTCTGAGGCCTTAGGGGATGGAAGACAGCCATTCACTGACCAGAAATGCCCCTCTGGACTGTTACACAACTGAGATATACATTTCTACTGTATATAATGCTACCAACATTGTGGGGTTTATTAATTGCTGTAGAGACTTATTGTGAAGGATTAAAAATGCTAAGTGCTCCTCTGAGTAGACCAATAATTTAAAATAGAACTAAACTTTGATACTATTTTATGCTTTAACTATAAAAACAATCTACTAAAAATAACTTGTACAAGAGGAAGACAAAGTCATCCTTAAAAATCCTGCCAAGAAACTTTTGAAAGGCAAAAGAACTCACTCTAAAAACAGCAAACTTTAGGCATTATAAAACCCTAAGTGCTTATCCATCACGAAGGGATCATAGCTAACACTGGTTCAGAATACACCTAGCTATGTGTAGAGTATATACTGAGACTTGTGCTGGCTTATCAAATCCTCCTTTCAAAAAAGAATTAAAACTAATGGAGCATGCAAGATCATGAGATGGAATAATACATTTACTAGCACTGAAAGCTTTTTCAAATGTAACATCCTAAGACCAGCTTCTTCAAAAACAAAACAAAACAAAACATTGTGATTATAACTGCAACAACTTGTGGCAAAATTTAAATCTATAGAGTTAACAACTAGTGTCATTTTTCTTATCATCCATGGCTTTCTTTCTTTTTTTTTTAAGATTTTTATTGGGGAATTGGGGGGATGGGAACAGTGCTGGGGAACTAGGAGAAGGGGAACAGACAAGTTGCTGTCGTTTTGTTCTTCAGTCTAGTTGTGGAAGACGTCGCTTCACTGGCCCACGTTGGCACCATCATTGCGCTCTTCCCGGGCGAGGCAGATCAGTCGCCGGCTTCTGGACGGCCGCTCACTGCGGCTGCTGGCCNGTTGGCACCATCATTGCGCTCTTCCCGGGCGAGGCAGATCAGTCGCCGGCTTCTGGACGGCCGCTCACTGCGGCTGCTGGCCGCTCACGCTGGCTGCCAGCTACATACGGTAGCCTGTGGCAACCCACTGCCACAGGAGCTGCAGCAACGCCGTCACAGGCGACTCACGGCAGCCCAGTTCCAGGTTAAGCTGTTGTTCAGCATCTTAGCTGTAGAGGGCAGTGTCACTGGACCTCATATGTGGGATCTGAACCGGGGCCCTCTGGTGTCCCAGGCCAGTTCTTAACCATCGTGCCACTCGGCCGGCCCCATCCATGGCTTTCTATTCATGACTGGTGGATCTGCAATTTTCTCAATTCATAGACATAGATTACGAGGAGACAGTTTTATTAGCACTTTCTCTGGACTCTTGTGCTCACAATCAGGAAAACCTCAAGACTGAAATGCCATTAGACAACAGGCAGATTTGTAAATAAAGAACCCAATGGGCAGAAGGAACTGACAATGTAAAGGTCCCAAGATGGGAGCAAATGTGTCATGTTCAGGCAATGAAAGGCGGCCAGTGTGGCTGGAACATCGCAAGCAAGGGTGAGAGTGGTAGGAGACCTGCTTGGAGAAGTAGGTAAGTACACGTCATGTGGAGTAGAACTTCCCCAAGTTTTTAATGTGCGTAAGAATTGCCAGGAGTGCATGTTAAATCACAGATGCCTGAGCCCTACCCGCAGAGATACTGATTTAAAAGGCGTGCCGTGGGATCCGAGCATTGCTTTTCTAAGAGTCCCAGGTGAAGAAGATCAGAGTCTACTCTTTGATACTGTTGCTGTGCAGCTTTATAGGTTAGAATAATGAGTTTGGATTTTCATGTAGGTGAGATAGGAACTACCGGAGGATTTTAATTAAAGGACACGATTGGCTTTACGTTTTAAAAAGATTCCCATTTACAGATTAGAACTGATGATGCAACTTCATTAGGCTGTCGTAAAGATTTAAAAAGATAATATTTGTGATATGCCTAACAGTTCTAACACATAAATATGCCATTTGGATCTTTTCACTGCTTTCCTTGACTTACTGTTTTGCCCTAAGAATTGTAAAGGAACTTGGAAACTCCTTTACGGAACTTCAGATAAATTTTCAAAATATCAATACATTCTATTTCTATTACTGCTGTTGTTAATTACCACAAGCTTAGCGGCTGACATGACACAATTTTATCATCATATAGTTTTGATTGTCAGAAGTCAAACACGGTTCTCACTAGGCTAAAATCAAGGCGCTGCCAGGGCTGCACTCCTTTCGAGAGACTAGAAGAAAATCGGTTTCCTTGTCTTTTCCACCTTCTAGAGGCACTGACATTCCTTGGCTTGTTGCCCTCTTTCTATATCTTCAAAGCCAGCGAGGGCTGGCTGCATCCTTCTCACATCATTTCACTCTGACCCCTGCCTGCTCCTCTCTCTTTCACATTTAAGGACCCCTCCTATCGTTACATTGGGCCCACTGGGATAACCCAGGATAATCTTTCTCTCCATCAGCTAATTAGCAGACTTCATTCCATCTGCAACCTTAATGCTCCTTTGCCATCTAAGGCAGCATACTCACAGGTTCCAGGGAACAGGCCCCGGACATCTTTGGGGGTCCATTACCCTGCCTACCACACCCGATGTGATGAAAATTTTAGTGCGCTTTGTGTGTTGTTGCTGCCTCCTGGTGACCACCTCCTTTCTTCCCCATCTCCGACGGCCATTTTAGCCTCAGGATGAAAGTAACACCACCACCACCAACAACAAAAAAACCCTCCCTGGAATTACAGTACTCCTTCATCTGTCTCATTGCTAGATTCCTAGGTTCTGAAGTTTTGTTTGCTCCTCTCTACACTGTCTGCCCCCACTTTAATCAGACTTGTGGTGCTTTGGGAGTTTTTCTTTTATTTAATCTCGCCTTTAAGTGTTTGGGACCAGGAAAAAAAAAACAGAAACAAAACAAACAAACACATTTCTTTTTTATTATTTTTGTTTTTCCTAGGAGAGGCATCTTTGGGGAAAGAAAACAGCCCACACCCCAAGCTTTTACTCAAGCATAACAGAGCTTAATTCACGCGCCCACCTCCTCGTCTGTCTGGGCTCCGCGGCTGGACTGAATGCAGCTGACAAGCCAAGAGAAAACGGCTTTCCCTAGTGAAGCAGAAAGCCACATCTTGAATCCTGACGCCTGTGTAAGTCCGTGATCGCACCCTTGATGTTACCTTTCACTTCAACAGCTCTCTTGGCTCCACTTGCTCTGAGCAGTTTTAATTTCCTGCCAGCAGAGTGGCACATTCGCTGGCATTATCTTTGGGATGCTTTTCATCAGGAGCCTAATGAGTGCCTGGGTTCTGGCTGATGGTAAGCATGAGGCTGCCAGGGAAGTGCCTAGAGGCCCTCTCAGCCCTGGAAGGCATCTCCGCCTGACTTCCACCTCCTGCTAACTGCGGGCTAAGGCACACACATATGGGAGATTCTCCACTGCTACCGCTGCTCTGACAAACGGCTGACGTGGATGCAAAGAAACCTGAAACCCCTGAAACTTGGCTACAAAGAGTTAAGCCGGAAAATGCCCTGATGGAACTCAGTAAATAGACTTATTAAGCCAAACTCCTGATAATGGATACACCCAGATAACCAAGGCACACTAATGGAACACATCCTGAGATAATCAAACTTCCACTAATTAAATAAAATGTTTTCCTATATCTAAGAATTTACTATCTACATCCAAGTATTTTAGCCAAATAGGAGGTTGCTATGTTATTAGCCTAATGCAGTTATAATAATGATTTGCACTTTCTGAGTATTATTCATTGGAGCCCCTGAGGGTTTTGGCAAAGGAGACTCTTCTGGCTTAAAATCTCTTTCATTTCTAGTTCCCCACTCTCTTAGTCCTGTGTGTATTCCCCAAATTCCATGCTTTCCCTTTAATTTGTCTTCTTGTGTTTCTTTACTCCTTACATTTGCAGTGATGTTTTCCTCTTCAAACCTCTTTGCTTTCAACTTTCAGAATAGCTTTCTATTTTAAAACGTAGATTGTTGTTTAAGGTACAAGTCCATCCCAAGGGCTGTTACAAGGACAGTTTAGTATCTATATCGTGCTTATGTATACAACAGAGGATTCATAATTACTCAAGAAGGAAAAATACAATTTTTATTATTTCCCTATAAGATTGTTTCTCTGTCTCCACCATTTTATCTTAGAAACAATGAATGCTGTTTATTACTATGAGAAGTTATTTTAAAAACATAGAAGAAACCTTGCTATGAAAATTATTTTAAGAACTAAGTTTGAATATTCATGATAAATGATGCCAGTACTAAGATCTTCTTCTTGACTCTGTGACTCTGAGGACCCCTGGGTC